GCGAAGCCTCTAAAGCAGGGCATTCCTAATGTGTCCAACAAATGGCAAGCTAGTTTAGTTTCAGTGAAATAAACAAGGAGAAATAGAGGAATTTAATGAAACATGAAAGGGTCAGATCAGTATACAGCTCTTCTACTTCAAAGTAAGAGTTTTGCTTTTTTCTCAGAGTGAATGTCTTTGGAAGGTTTTGAGTAGAGCTGTAGTGTGCTATGTCATATTTTAAAGAATTATTCAGACTGTGTTCAGAATAGATTGAAGGGAAATAAGTACTAAAGCAAGAGACCAATTAGATGTCTACTGCAATCATCTTGGTAAGAAAAGCTAAAGTCAACAAGATTTGCTAATGGCCCAGCTGTGGATTGTGAAAAAGAAAAAGCATGTATCAGGAATGTCTCAAAAATTTCTAACCTGAGTAACTGAAAGAACAGGGTTACCTGCACCTGGGATATAGATGAAGTGGTAGAGTACATGCCTATTACATACAAATCTCTGAGTTGTATAACTGGCACTGCACACCCTATCTATGCACCCAGGGCCAGAGTGTGACTCTAGTGTCCCCCAACACTGCAGGACCCAAGTACCAAACAAGTAGGAACACTGGGTCAGGCACAGTTATCTGTGGCCCCCTTAAATCAAAACACTTTCAACTCTATGATACAAGTGTTTAAATATGCAAAATACAGAAACAACTCAATATCCATAAATGATTATTTTTTTCTGTTTAAAAAAAATGAACAGAAGATCTGAACAGACACTTCATCTTAGAAGGCAAACATAGCTAATAGGTGCTTGAAATATGCTCATCACCATTCATTGTTAGAAAAATGCAACTCAAAGCATAACAAGGGTCACAGAGTTAGTTCAATGAGATGGAGTGCACAATTAGCATGCACGATCCTTAGGTTCAATCCCCTCTGCCACATAGTTCCCCCAAACACCACCAGGATTGAGCACTGAGGGCTTGACGTAACCTCAGAGCACTGTAGAGCTGGGCCTCAAACTATAGCTGAAACAGAAAACTATATAAACACCAAAAGTAAGTGTTGGAGATGATGTGAAGAAAAAGAAACCGGTATAACGGTTGATGGAATACAAATTGATGCACTCCCTATGGAAAACAGTATGGAGTTTACTCGGGGGAAATTAAAGTAAAATAGATCTACCACAAGATCCACTTACGGGTTTCTATCCAAAGAATATGTAAGTACTAATTTGGGGAAAAAATAAATAAGTCATATGCACTCCTAAGCTCATTGCAACTTTACTTATAATAGTCAATATGTGAAACCAATCTACTTATCCATCATCGGGAAATTTTATAAGGAAGACATGAAGCTTTTAGTGCAGAACCAGGAGTAAGTCCTGAGAATTGCTGGATAAGGCCCAAACACCAAAAGAAAGTATACTATTAAGCTGAAGTATCACAGACATTGACTAAAATCAAGTTCCATTTTAATGGTTTATTATCATACTATAGAATTGCATATTTTCAATAATATAGCTTCCATGTCCATGAGGCTCACCATACCCACCATCAGCAAGATTCCACTCTTCATTTCTCCCCACTCTTTTCCCTTACTGAAAACACTGAATCTAAGAAATAATTTACCTGTTTTCTTGCAATTGTTTGTGGTTGTTATTCAAATTCCACATATTGGTGAAATATCCAACAATTATCTTTAATTTCCTTGGCTTTTTTCACTCAAATTCCACCCATTTTGTCCCCAATGGTGCATTCTTTTGGTGTCCGAATGGTATTCTGTTGATTATATGTACCACAATTTCCTTATCCAGTCAAGTGTTGATCGTCATTTAGGTTGTTTCCAGATTTTGGTTTTTGTGAATAATGCTGTGAACATTGGAGTACAAATAAGAACAAATAAGTGTTTTTCATATCCTTCAGATAAAATTAGAATTTTTAATATGTCTTAATTCCCTTGAAGGCTTCTCTAATTTGAAAGAATTCAACTTTTACATTTTAAAAACATTTTACATTTTACATTTTACATTTTTAAAGATAAAAAGAAAAGGGTGGATGGGGAAATTTTTTAATTTAAAATATCCACCACAAGTCCACAAGTGAAAACTCTCCAAACCTGGCTAGTTTTTTTCAATCAAGTAAATTGTAATTCTAATTTTACTTTAAAATTATTAACAAGTTGTCAGCATCCCATCTAGCTGGTCGACTTATACTTCAAGAAATGTGTGTATGGGGGCAGGAGGGAGAGAGGTACAGAGCAATAGTACAGCAGATACAGCATTTGTCTTGCACGCAGCCAACCCGGGTTAGATCGCCAGAATCCCATATGGTCTTCCAAGCGCTGCCAGGAGTAACCCCCAGCAACGCCGGGTGTGACCCAAAAGTGAAAAAAAAAAAGAAGTTGGGCGATGGGGGCGGAGAAAATGGAAACTTTAAATATTGAGTAGGAGAGCAAGATGAATAATTGGTGAAAGAAAAGGGTTTTGTTTTGTTTTGTTTTTTTCCGCAGGTAGAGGCATCCCATTTTAGCAAAAAGCATAGAGTTCTTACATAGAACAGCTAACTGGGGCTGACTGGAAAATTTTAGATTGATTGTCTTTAGATTGATTCACTTTTCAGAGAGCGTAAAAGTACAATTAGAATAGGAATTGTTTGTGGAGATTGTTGTAAATGATATCATTTGAGTCCTGATGTTTCTCTTTTTTATTTAGCACTTCAAAGACACAAAAGCTTAAGAACTAAAATAATATTTCCTCCTTATCCTTGAATTTTCTAATTCTAGGGATTAAAAGTGCAGAATTCGGTAAGAGGGGCAAGGTAGTATCTTATCTGTGCATATGTATGTATGTATTTATGTATGTATTTCTTTGGAGATCTCGGATCGGGCCTGGGCCTCCTCTACCCAGATCCCCCAACTTCCAGTTAGGAAAGCATTACAACTACCAACTGCCCCCGGTGCCATGTGATTCCATCAACTGCCAAGACCCAGAGACTATAAAACCCAGCTCCTGGAAGCGACCTCCTATTATCTAGTTCTTACTCTTGGAGAACCCAGCAGGCTACCGAGAGTATCCTACCCGCACGGCAGTCTGGCAAACTCCCCATGGCGTATTCAATATGCCAAAACCCAGTAACAATGATGGGTCTCATTCCCCTGACCCTGAAAGAGCCTCGAAAGTGGCACTTTCTAAAATCTCAGGGCTAGGACGAAGGAGACATTACTGGTGCCCGCTCGAGGAAATCAATGAACAGGATGACAGTGATACAGTGATACGGCGACTTCTTTGGAGGAAAGAATTCTTAAGAACGCTCTGTAAATCAAAGCAGTAATAAGGCAGCAACATGCAAATACTATACCTTAAGTAGTACAATATTGCACTGGGAATTTAAATTTATTATATAGCAAATCAGTGTAAGTATGAAAGAACCAACATCAATTATAAGTGAAAACATCATTTATTAGAAAAATATAAAAGTACCAATAAAAACTTTTTAAGTATTAGGATTAAGACTGGAAGCACAGTAATTTATTCTTGAGAAGTACAGTTGAGTACAAAATTTATATTCATCACACCCAGCTACAGAGATTTGTGTAGACAAACCTTGATTTTGGTAAAATTTGCCTTGTATAAAAATATCCAATATAGCGTTTATAAAATAATTTTTAAATAGGAATATGAAAATTCTTAAGAGAATGCTTAAGAAAAATAACATTTTCATAACATATAGAATATTGCTAAAAACAATAATTCAGAATCCAAGAAAAATTTACCAAAAAAGTAAAATCTCTAACTAGTTATTTTATTAGTTACTGGAGCTGTCATAAGTATATAACATGTTTAGCTCATTTAATTTTCTGATTGATCCTGTATTTTCTTCTCTTTAGAAGTATGGACTAGGAGCTGGAGCAAAAGTACAGCAGGAATTTTGTAAGTAAGACTTGTCTTAAAAGTCGCAGACCTGGGTTCAGTCCCTTGCAACGCACATGATCTCCTCTCACTGCTAGGAGTAATTAATTCCTGAGTGTGGAGCTAAAAGTGACCCCTGAGAATCACTGGTGTGGCCCAAAGACCAAAATAATAATAATAATGAATTAAAATAGAGTTGAAAATACATAGTAAGGTAAAGATTTTAGTGAAATAGAGCTGAATTTCAGATGCCTATATCTGAGATCCCAAGGGACTTGAAATAGGATCATTTGATCTGGTTAAATTTATTTTGATACATTTAGTATTCCTTCTATCATATGATTTCTGTTTGTTTTCTTAATGCTACATTTTCCTTAGATTTTATTGCCATTTTTCTACACTGCATTAAGTTTCCCTCTACCAAGCTCAATCATAGAAAGTAAGCTCCATAAGGCAAGATTTTAGACGTGACTTCTGTATCCTATCACTGAGCCAAATGCAAGGTAACAAATTTTTAATTATATTTGCTCCATGAGTACGTAAGTAGAAGATATTACCTACATATCTTAATTCCATTCTGGGGCCAAAGATAAATTCTAAAGAACGGACTTATCAATTAGAAAGTGAATGTAAAGAAAAATGGGGAATAGTGTTACCAGAATGCCTCTATCCCAATCCTGTTACCAACTTTGTGATCTTGAAAAACTAAACCACTATGAATTTCTGTTTTCTTCACTTGACAAATAGGACTGTATTAGATCAGGATTTTATATAATGAACCATACATCATTTTGTATAACATATAAGGCTATCAATCTTATCCACAAAAGCATTGTATACATATATCATGAAAAACAGCTATTTAACATTTTTTAAGATCATGAAAAAAAACCTTTCATGTGCATATTGTTAATATATGCAATATAAAGAATTTAAAGATAATTAAATTATTTATCAAAAATGAAAGTAAAAGCCCTCTCCATTTTATAAGAAAAAAAAAATTCACAGTGAAAGATAGCATTTGTCCATAGGAAAAAAAAACGTATTTACAGATATTGTAAAATCTTTCAAAACATTAAATTCCAATATCTTCTTTTAAGTTTTTGTAATGCTTATTTCAAATAAGGATGAAGTTGTTTAAGCTTGGCTTTTCTTGACAAACCAATTCTGATTGGTCGACTGCATGTCTTAAGAGGCAACACTCTGGAAATTCCGTTTGAGAAACTACTACCTAAAATATATATGATAACAAAAACACACAAGGGAGTAAAATATCATTAATGTATTATTTTTTTAATTTTTATTTTATTTTATTTTTCATTCATATCACCTAAGCTTAAATTATTTTTTATTAAATTCATCCATGATACTTTGCCATGTGAAATACTTTTAATATAATACTTTAGGGTACTGTCACCATTTTTTAATGAGTAAAGCTTAGCACAAAAAAAATTAAATTGCCTTGTATAAAATAATAATTAAGCAAAATTAGCTTTCTAGTCATGCATTTTGACATAAAACAGAACAAACAAAAGCAGTACAACAAAAACAAACAGCAAAACTATAGATTTTAAAATCAATTTAATTAGTGGCTTTATTTATGAGAAGATAAATAACTAAGCTATGTTCTAACAATTTGACTTCTAATAGAGATTATTATCAATAATAGAGCATAAATGTATTCATTTATTATTATTAATGGTACTGTCTAATTATGAACCTTGTACTTAACATTAGATTGCTACTTTTAAAAAGACATTTCAGAGAGGGGTCTCTGTTACTATATTAGTTAACTAAAACAGGATTAACTACCCTTGATAATATAATACAAAAATACCTATAATTTTCAGAGTGCTTTTCTAAAATAAATGATGGGGTGGTGCTTGTATAAAACTAAATGTATCAAGCCTTAATGAATTAGGATGACCTTAATATAATAGTATATTATACTAAAAATGCTGAAATCAATCTAATATTAAATCCAAAAAAACTAAGCTGTATGGTTTCTACTAAGCTGAATTAGACAAAATATGCATGTATCTGTGTAAGCATTGACTAAATACAAGGTTTAATTATATGTGACTATAATTAACATGACTATAATTAATAAAATATATTGATTATATTATTAATATAATTGTAATTATTTGTATTATATATTAATTATATTAATATAAGGTTGGAGCAATAGCACAGCACCTAAGGTATTTGCTTTGCACGCATCTGACCAGGGTTTGATTCCTCCGCCCTTCTCAGAGAGCCCGGCAAGCTACAGAGAGTATTCCTCCCATACGAGCAAGTTCCCAGTTATGTATTCAATATGCCCAAAACAGTAACAACAAGTCTCACATTGGAGATGTTTTACTGGTGCATGTTTTACTGGTGCCCTCTTGAGCAAATTGATGAACAACAGGAAGACAGTGCTACAGTGCTATAAATAATAGAAAATAATATATCAAAAAAGGGCTATAAATCAGTTTATTATGTCTAGCCAATTTTAACATTTTTAAAAACAAGAGAAAAATATTATTTCTAGATTTTCACCTTTTAAACAAAAATATCCAAATTTTTTTAAAAATGCATGATTATACCAGGTTTGGTTATAAATTAGGTAATTTCACCAATTTATGATAAGTGTACTTAGCACTGTAAGTTTATTGTCCAAGATAAAAGCTACAGTCTGTCTGATTACTTTTTCAAAGTATACAGTTCGTCTTTCATATTCTAATATGACAAGCACTTCTGGGAATTTTGTAATTGGTATGAAATCACTTAATAAATTAGTATCAAAAGCAGACCTTTTACAAAGCACATACCTTTAGTCATTTTATTATTGTTATAAGTGTTATTAAAAGAATGTGCTTCTTTGTTTTTATTTCCTACATTCTAATTAAATGAGTTATGATTATTTTTTATTGTTCTGCATTGCAACTCATTGCTTTCAATTGTTTAATGATTCCAAATAGTGAAACATACTAATGAAAATGTTTATTTTTAAAGTTATGAAATGTTTCTATGATCTTTTACAAATAAAATTAGTTAAATTTTCAAATTTCAATTGTGCTGGCAAAACTGGATGGCTACATGCAAAAAAATCGGCTCAGATCTCTGCCTAACACCATGTACAAAAGTAAGATCAAAATGGATTAAAGACCTCAACATCGGACCAGAATCCATAAGGTACATTGAGAACAAAGTTGGCAAAACCCTCCATGACATTAAAGCTAATGGTATCTTCAAAGATGTCATGCCACTGGCCGAGAAAGTGAAAACAAATAGATAAATGGGACTATCTTAAACTAAGAAGCTTCTGCACCTCCAAAGAAACAGTGACCAAAATACAAAGATAGTCTATAGAATGGAAAAGGATATTCGCCCAATACACATCTGACAAGGGGTTGATATCAAGGATATACAAAGTACTGGTTGAACTCCACAAGAAGAGAAAACATCCAACTCCATAAAAAAAAAAAATGGGACGATGAAATGAACAGAAAATTTCTCAAAGAAGAAATCCAAATGGCAAAAAGGCACATGAGAAAATGCTCTACATCATTAATCATCAGGGAGATGCAGATCAAAACAACATATCTCACACCACAGAGACTGGTCCACATCCACAAGAACAAAAGCAACTGGTGCTGGCGCAGATGTGGCGAGAAAGGGACCCTCCTTCACTGCTGGTGGGAATGCCAAATGGTTCAGCCCTTTTGGAAAACAGTATGGACGATTCTCCAAAAATTAGAAATTGAGCTCCCATTTGACCCAGCAATACCACTCCTGGGAACATATCCCAGAGAGGCAAAAAAGTAGTCGAAGTGACATCTGCACTTATTTGTTCATTGCAGCCCTCTTTACAATAGCCAGAATCTGGAAAAAACCTGAGTGCTGGAGAACAGATAATTGGTTAAAGAAACTTTGTTACATCTACACAATGGAGTACTATGTAGCAGTTAGAAAAGATGAAGTCATGAAATTTACATAGGAGTGGTACTACATAGAAAGTATCATGCTAAGTGAAATGGGTCAGAAAGAGAGGGAGAGACATAGAAAGATTGCACTCATCTGAGGAACATAAAGCAACAAAACAGGAGACTAACAACCAAGAACAGTCGAGATAAGTACCAGGAGGTTTACTCCATGGCTTGGAGGCCAGCCCCACATGCTAGGGGAAAAGGCAGTTCAGATGGAGAAGGGAGAACCAAATAAAGGGTGTTGGGGGGATCCTACCAGGATGGGAGATGCATGCTGAAAGTAGACTATAGACTGAACATTATTGCCACTCAATGCCTCTTTTGCAAACCACAGCACACCAAAGGAGAAAGAGAACAAAAGGGAATGCCCTGCAGGGTGGGACGGGGGATGGGGGAAAGGAGGGATACTGGGACCTGTGGTGGGGGAAATTGGGCACTGGTGGAGGGATGGGTACTTGATCATTGTATAATTGAAACCCAAGCACAAAAATTTGTAAGTCTACAACTGTATCTCATGGTGTTTCACTAATAAAAATTAGAAAAAAAAATTTCAAATGTTCCCTATGTCTTATCAAACACACCCAGCATTGACTGTTGCTGCTGGCACAAAACACATGCTGAAAATAATTTCAAGCTTCTAGACTTCACATCACAATGAGAAGAGAGGAAAGATATTCCAGAACTGAACTGTAGCACTTTCCTTCCATTGTTCATTGATTTGCTCAAGCGGGCACCAGTAACATCTCTATTGTGAGACTTGTTATTGTTTTTGGCATATCAAATACACCATGGGGAGCTTGCCAGGCTTTGCTATGCGGGCGGGATACTCTTGGTAGCTTGCCGGGCTCTCTGAGAGGGGAGGAGGAATTGAACCGGGGTCAGCCATATGCAAGGCAAACGCCCTACCTGCTGTGCTATCTCTCCAACCCTTTCTAGAGCCCTTGTGGGAAGTTGAGACACCATGATGGCAAGTGAACAGGTATCAAAAACATTTCAGAGCAGTAAGGAGTTTCCCAAAACAATGTTGCAGAAGCAAGCTCTCCATCACCTAAGCAGAGTTCATTCTTCTCATCATCACTCCAGTGTCTTTCAACTTTTCCCCTACACTATGGATTTAAACAAGCCTCAGGAAGATCTTTTCATATTCATTACACTTTAGAAATGAAAACAAGATGACTATGCTAAATAGTATAAAATAATATGTCCAGCCATGCATGTTATTTTATATTCCATGACAGTGAGACTTGAATATTTCTTTTTTCAACTTGTGTGTATATTTGAATCTTTCTCATACAGCCATTTTATTAACAAGTTTGTCTGTTGACTATATGGCTACTTGCTTCCTAAAATTTCTACATCACTGTATCACTGTATCACTCATCCCTTTGTTTTTCGATTTACTTGAGCGGGCAGCAGTACCGTTTCCATTTGTTCCAGCCCTGAGATTTTAGCAGGCTCTCCTTACTTGTTTTTCCCAACGTGTTAGAGGCTCTTTCAGGGTCAGGGGAATGAGACTCGTTATTATTACTGTTTTTGGTATATCGAATACGCCACGGGGAGCTTGCCAGGTTCTGCTATGTGGGCGGGATACTCTCGGTAACTTGCTGGGCTAAGAGATGCATATATACACACACATATATATACATATATAAAGACACATTTCTCTATCAAATATGGTATGCTAATTATGGAAAATGGGTAAAAAGTGTCTTACGATGTGTCGCACAGTCCAGGAATATATTCACTCATATGTGAGGCTCTGCCTGAGCATGTGGAAAGCAGCCTGGAGCATGACACAGGTTGGGTGGTGGAGGTCGGCTGTGGGGGCTGGGTCCCTTGGGGAGGGGAGGGCTTTCACCCGCCCCACTCTGGGGTGGCCATAGTGAAAAAAGCCTGGCACTGTTTTTCTTCATACTGAATTTCTTCATACTTTCTCAAAATATATTATTGAGTGCATTCTTCCTTTCTTTCTCTCCTCGAAGAACTGCAACCCCAACTATTCCAGGTGAATACCTATCATCCTGCATTTTAGTTTCATGAAATACTATTCCATTATTTAATTCCCTTTATTCGAAGGAAAGGCTATTTACCTATGGTCTTGTGTTCTTCCAGGGACATGGATATATTTTTATAGGGCTTACAGCCAGTGGAGCTAGGAGAGTAGTGACATTCAGTGCAGGCAATGAAATACAGGACCTAGTACATGCTACCACTTAAGCTATCACAACCCTTTGTCCCCCACCATAATATCTCACCATTTTGTTTTTAGCCCATGTCAAATAGTGCTCAGTGACTATTTCTGACTCTGTGCTGTGGCTGGGGGGCAGGGGCGGTGCGGGGAGGTAGGGTCTCTCCTGGCAGTGCTTGGGAGACCATGATGTGCTCAGGATCAATCAGGGTCAGCTGCATGCCAGTCAAGTGCCTCAACCTCTGTACTCTGCAGCCCTGGTCCCTGTTCTTAAGGTTAGTTCACTATAAACTGAAAAGGGGGAGAGGGGAATGCAATTCTGAAGTAACTGACTACTGTACTACAGACTGTAAATATTCTACTAATGGTGACAAGCCAGATTTTTTTTCGGAGAGGGGCTGAGGAACTGAACTCGGGTCGGCCATGTTGGCTGCTTGCAAGGCAAATGCCCTACCCGCTGTGCCATCGCTCCAGCCCAAGCTGTGTATATATTAAAATTAATTCATTTTATTCTAATATTATAGATTGGGCTAGAGCGATAGCACAGCTGTAGGGCGTTTGCCTTGCATGCAGCAGACCTGGTCGGCACAGGTTCAATTCCTCTGCCCCCCTTGGAGAGCCCGGCAAGCTACTGAGAGTATCTTGCCCGCAGGGCAAAGCCTGGCAACCTACCCGGGATGTATTCAATATGCCAAACATAGTAACAAAAAAGTCTCACGATGGAGATGTTACTGGGCTCGCTTGAGCAAATTGATGAACAATGGGAGGACAGTGCTACAGTGCTATTGTAGATCATTTGGGCAAAAGTTAGATCAGCTGGCTAGCTTTTCTTTAGTATCATTATTTTAATAGTTCTAAAAATGTTGACATCAAATTTATAAATCATGATATATAAGTGATGCTAATGTTATTACTAAGCAAAATGAATATGTGAAAAGAACACAAACTTAAAGAATATAAAACACTGATAATAGATAGATAGATAGATAGATAGATAATTGGGAGTAACATTTCATCAAAAAAATTTAACTTAGAAAATCTTGCCATTAATTTTGTCAATTAATGTTACATATATTAGCTGTGTGTGTTAAACATATCTAACACCTTTCTCATAACACAGATAAAACATTTTAACAAAAATATTATAAACAGCATTTTGAATTTCTATAATTCATATTATTAGAATTTGCATTAATAAATTATTAGTTTATAAACTGTTAAATCTTGTTTTCTAACAACCTTAGTGTATTTTTTTAATGCTCAAAATATAAGAATATGATAATCATCTTAGATGGTATTCTTAAAATTAAGTCAGAATCATACCTCCTTTGAATGAATGATGAAATTTTTCTTCATTAAGTTCATTAGAAACCAAAGCAGGTCTTTTTGCTGAAGAGTTTGCACCAACTGAAAATAAATGTCAATATGTTATAGTAAAAGTTACTTTTATATGAAACATTAATATTACAAATTTTTTAAATATATTTTCTCCATTGAATTCTGATACGATAAATAAAGACTCATTAAAGTTCATTTTAAAATCTTAGTCACTTGTTACCATCAACTTCAGTACATTAATGTGTTTGAATAATTATAGGAAAAACAATCTGCATTAATACATTATATTTTACCATTTTTGCCAGAGTTATATATTTGGTCTTCACAGCAAAAATAATTAACACCCTTTTTTTACAAATGTTTTAAAGATAGTTTCATACCTTCCTCAGTGGGATAGAATAATTCTTGCTCTGATGTCCTTGGACTGTAATATTCTTCAGGAACTTCCTGTTCTCCTTTTTCAGGTACTACTTTCCATTTAAATAAACTTTGATGTCTTTTGTGCAGAGAAGAAGCTACTCTATTATCACAGTGGAAAGAAGATGTACATATTTTGTTGACAGTACCCATTTTCAAATCTTCTTTTATCTTCATTTTCACCTCCTCAATGTTATTATTTTCTCCAGAGTAATTTTCTTGCCCATTGTTTGTTTCTGCAGTGTTTAGAATTTCATTTTCCTTACTAATTTCATGAAACATACGAAGTTCTTCAAGTACTAAATCAAATTTACTTTTCATCTCAAAATCTTTGACTATTGTCAGAGCTTCTGTTGATAAACACTTGGCAGTTAAGTCCTGAAAACATTCTTTGTTTGCTACATTCAAATCAAATTGATAATTCTCACTTTCTGTAGAGTCATTCTTTGGATAAAAGTGCTTTGGATTTGCTAACTCACTTTCTTGCAAAATGCTTTCATATTCATTATCATCAGTTACATTATTCTGATCAATGTATCTATTAGTTTCTTCCTTGCATACTTTTTTATTCATTAACAAAACTGATTGCACAGGAAACATGCCACTCATTGAAGAAGAAGCATTTTTCTCTTCCTTTCCTATCTTACTATCTTGTTGAACAAGAAGTGCTGTGACTTTTTCTTCCTCCTTCAAAATTAAGTTATATTCTTTCCCTTCATTTTCACTTAGTAAGTTCCCAAAATGTACTATTTGTGTTATGGGGGTCAAATTGATTTCTTCTCTAAAATTTATGTCCTGATCTTTTGGTATAGCCTGTTGCCTAATATTGAAGTTATCATCAGACATGCATTTAAAAGTAAAGCTACTCATCTTATTAGATTCATGTTTTCTTTCAATAGCTAAATCTTGACTGTACATATTTATTTCATAACAATTTTCATTAACATGCTGTATTGATTGAGAATCAAACTGAACATATGTTTTAACTGCATTGGTAATACAGTGAGGTCCATTTCCCAAAAACATGAGTTGTTCAGGACAACTGTTATTGTTATAAGCTATTTCTTTTGTCAAACACATTCCATTCATGTTGTCATTGAAGTTCATTAAGAGAGGAAATTTTTTATATGTTTCAAAAACTGGAAAATGTATAATTTCAGTTGTCATACTGGAGGAATCAAACTTTTTATCGTTAGACTTTTCAAAAACATTTTCACTTTTAAACAGCTTTCTTTTTTCTAACATAGGTTTTAAGGTATCTTCTAAGAGTTTTGAAAACATTAAAATTCTTTCTAGATATATAGTATGACTTTCCACTACATTTTTTGGATAGTTTAAATGCACTATCCATTTGGAAATGTATGCCTGTCCTAATTTAGAATCACTTTCAGCAACTGTTGAAATGTCAGTATTATTGAGCAAAGAATCTATGTTCGTTTTCAATATGAACTTTAGACGTTCTGAAACATTGGTTTGTAAACATAACTCAAAAATACTGTGCCTTCTATTTACATTCATATTTCTAGTTACCAAATTTTGAACACCAACTTGCTTTTTACATGTCAAAAATTCATACCAAGTTAAAATGTTATTATTATTTTGAATTCCTAAAATGCTTTTATAAAAACAAAAAATTTCCGTGATAAAACTTTCAAAAATGCTACTCAAATAAAAGTCTTTTTGAGTAGTATTATATCTTAACTGCACCATATTATCATTTTCTTCTTTGCCATTTAACCAAAAATAAAGTATTAAAGTTTTTTGGCTACTCTGCATTCCAATCATGAGAGATTTTGGTTGTTCTTCATAAGTTTTCACGACTTTTACATTGTAATAATCTGTACTTAAAGGATCTACTTCTAATAACTGCAGAAAACCAAAGTTTTCTCCAGTTTTTTTCATATTTTGGTATTTTGCCCCATAATTATTCATGATACAATTTTCTCTGTTTTTTATGAAAATGGATCTAGTGTTATAATCCCCAGTCTCTAGTGTTTGAAAGTTTTTTAACATAGTGGTAAACATGTAACAGTCTAGATAGGTTACTAATTCTTCCCAATTTTCATTTTCGAGTATTATAGTGACTTTCTTCCCGGGGTGTCTTGTATCAGAATTGAATCTGCTTTGGTTGTAGTAGTTTAAACTGATCAAGTCTTTTTTTCTCACACAAGTGTTTTGGTTGCTGAGTGACTGGGGGTTACTTTCATAACATTTGGGGAAAATATTTTCTGCAGCCACACTTTTGTTATCATCCTGTAACTTTTGCTTAGCATCAGGTCTATTTTGGGACCAGTAAATGTTTGTGAAACCCCTAACATATGCCTCATTTATGTCATTCTTTTTCCTTGCCATTTCCTCTAAATAGACAGAGGACATTCTGCTATTTAAATCCGTTGGAAACTCGGGGATAATACTTATTGGACTGCTATCTCCAAAATAGCCGGGTTTGGCAATTTCCACGCTGGGCAGATTTGGCCGTTTCGCTATTTTTAGTGGAAATACTGAAGTGTTATTTTCATTATTTGATGGCGTAACCCTGCCAGCTTGACACCTGTTCCGAATTTCGCGAGATTCTGCCTGAGTTTTCTTACAAAAGGGAACATCTAAAAGTGGACTGGGGGTCCGCTTCAGACACCGACGGACTTTCTGACTAGTGTCTCTCTCCTGGGCGGCAGATCCTTTTCCGCCTTTGACTTCAAGCAGCGCGCGTGTGAGGGGAGCGTTGGGCAGAGGCTGGCGACCTCCCGCTTCGGATCTAACACTGCTTGGCGCGCGGAACTCGTCTCCTGCCTCAGAAAACCTTCTGGAAGCTCTGACAGGACCGAAACCCCGCGTAGGGAGGGACCGCCAACGAGGGCTCCCCTGGCGTCGGCTCTCGCGCCTGCCCACCTCACATCTGGGCGCCCCAGCGACTGAGGTCCCCCCACTTGATTCAGTGGCGTTACCAAACAGCACGTCGGCCGAGAGGAAAAGCTCGGTGAGGGGTCGACAGGGTGTCAACTCCCAGGCTTTTTCCACCTCAGACAACCGAGGCACCAAAGGCAGCCTCCAGCCCGCCTCAGGGACGGCCCCCGGCTCCTCCAGACGGAGCCGCTTCCTAGGAGGTTGGAAAACAGGGCCCGCGGGGGGCGATAAAGGAGAAGCGTGTTTCCGAAGCTCCGCCGCCACCCACGAGCTGGGGTTCGAGAGCGACATGACAGCGAACCGACACGATCCGTCCGAGCGTTCGGCGGGTCTCCTCCCGGTGACAGGCGGGCGCGCCGACGACTTCGCCCCGGCCTTTAGGCATCTAGCCCCGCCCCCAGGACCAGCCCTCGTCACGCCCCTTGCGGGCTGGCCTCTCAGCCAATCCCAAGGCCAGCCCGCGCGTGTGCCACGCCTCTCTCCCGCCCCTGCTCGCCAGCCTCTATATAAGCCCCGCCTCCAACTTCCTGCCCCCAACTCCTGCTTGCGCGCCTAAAAGGTATATCCTCAGGCCCCAAAGCTTCGTTGGGGGAGTGTGGGGCCGTTGGCTAGTTTCAGAGCTTGTGGCTAATTCCCGAGTAGTTGCTGGTCTCAGTATTTTGCTTCTTCCGGATAAAACTTCCAGAGTCAAAGAATCCGTTTTTTTAGGTTTTTTTTTTGTTGTTAAGTATCAGCTTGTGAGACAATTTTTTTTTAAGTTCTAAAATTCTGTTTTTCCCGGAAGGGGTTTCTCATAGATTGTCTTGCCCAGTAAAGGCAGATAGTTAGTTCCGCGGTTCGAAGCGCCACACCAAGTCCTTGTGACTACAAAAACTTTCATTATAGAGCCATTTGATGTTTGATTTCCACTTCACCCATAAAAGGGGTAGGAGGCGGGAGGCAGAAGACGGGGTACTTTATTTAAATATTTAATGAAAAGGTGTATGGAAATTATTATCAGTCTTCCCTTTGACGAGAAATTTTACCTATGTGCTGGGGGAACGGCTTCCTTTCCCCAGTATTGTGGACAAAATTAAAAGTGTCAGGGTTAATACTTTGTATCACTGTATCACTGTCATCCTTTGTACCACTGTATCACTGTATCACTGTTCATGGATTTACTCCAGCGATTTACTCAAGCGGGTGCCAGTAAGGTCTCAATTTTCTGAGCCCTGAGAGTTTAGCAGCCTCTCCTTACTCATCTTTCCCAATGATTGGAGGCTCTTTCAGGGTTGGGGAATGAGACCTGTTATAGTTACTGATTTTGGCATATCAAATACCCACGGGGAGCTTGCGAGTCTGTGTCAGTGTGGGCAGGATACTCTCTGTATCTTGCCAGATATATATATATATATATATATATATATATATATATATATATATGGGCTGGAGCGATAGCGGCCAACATGGCCTACCTGAGTTCGATTCCTCCGCCCCTCTCGGAGAGCCGGGCAAGCGAGAGTATCTCGCCCACACAGCAGAGCCTGGCAAGCTCCCCGTGACGTATTCGATATGCCAGACACAGTAACAACAAAGTCTCCAATGGAGACGTTACTGGGCCCGCTCGAGCTAATCGAAGATCAACGGGAGGGCCTTTACTTAACTTTACTTATGATTAATACTTTGTAAGCATAAATAATAATGCAGTTTTTACTTGAAAACAAAGTTAGGGTTTTTTTCCCCTCTGATTTAATAATTTCCTTGTGGTTTCTATCAGCCTTTTTTTTGGGGGGGGGGGGCTGTTCACACCCAGCGATGCACAGGGGTTAGTCCTGGCTCACGCACTCAGGAATTACTCCTGGATGCTGGGAATTGAACCCAAGTCAGCTGGGAGCAAGGCAAACGCCCTACCCACTGTGCTATCACTCCAGCCCCTCCATCAGCCTTTTGTGAATTCTATAATCACAAGATGGGATGTATTTACTACGTAGTAAATGTAAACTTCAATCCCCTTGATTGTTTCAAAGTTGGCACGTTTGGTGTTACCTGGTAAACAACTGCAATTCTTTGCAACCAGGGTCCAAATTTCAGGCCCTGTGAGAGCACCAATGAGTGAAAAAAGAGGAGTCTCTTTTCGAACTTTGGACCCTCTGGGTCCCAGCGAGCTGTGAGGTGATAAAAAGAATTTAGCAGAAGATGGGTAGGAGCTATAGTACAGCAGGAGTGGGTAGGGCAATTATCTCGCATGCAGCTGATGGGGTTTGATCCCCAACAGCCCTTTTGGTCCCTGACCCCTGCCAGGTGTGATCCCTGAGCAGAATAAACCCTGAGCATAACTGGGTGTGCGCCATCCTCTCCCTTTATCCCCTGCACCCTCCCCCCCAAAAAAAAAATTTATCAGGAGAGTTAGTTTGAGTAGAGCAAACTAAGTGTTTTGCAATAGAATTCATTGATCAACCAGACTCAATGAAAACACCAGAGAGCCCGCTTAGCCCAGTCTCGCGGAGTGTTGTAGGGTGTTTCTAGATTGCTGAGACAGGTTCTGCTTCTTGTGGATTAATCCTAGGCAGCGGGTGAGCTAGAGTGTAGCCAGTCATAGCACCTGAGAAGCAGAACTGAGCCTGAGTGACAGTGGCTACATCTGATTATATTAGGAGGGACGGGAATTAAACCAGGCATCCTTTTAGGGAAATTCCTAATAGACTGCTTCATTAAGATGTAATGATCCCAACTCTGGGCATTTGCTCTTTCTTTGGTTTGTAAATTCTTCTGACATGTTTGCTTAAATTTGTGGAAAACCTTGCAGCATAAGCATTTATCATCACTAAATAAGAGCGTGGGAGTGGTTCAGATTATACATCAGTGAGTTCTCAGAATTCTACTTCCTTGGATCTCAAATTCCATTGATTTTTTTACCTTAATATTTTCTGTACTTCCACATTCCATTTGAATGCAATCTTCTATGCTTGTGATCAGCCCATAAAGAATGGAGAGGGAAGGTGGATGTAATTGGTGCATTAACATACTTTCCATCTATAAAGTAGAGTCATAAATTTGTTATTTCCATAATCATCTGTAACTTGCTATCCTTAAAGATAACACCTGTCTAGTTTTGCTATCTTATTGTGGCTCAGATAACAATGAATGGGAGAATGAGTTAAGATAAATCCTAAACTGTAAACATCACACCAGTTCTTAATCAGATGAGTCAGAGCTTCACTGAGTACCTCCAGCTTCAGTATCCTTAGCAGGGTCTGCAAGATTTTCACAACAAAATACTAACCTAAACTTTCTATTATTTTTGCACAATTTGCCCTCATGCTGCCTGTAGTAGACCACTTGTTTTCCTGCTACCCTGTCCACACCCTTAGTAACCTATTTCTCCACCAGACAAGGAGTTCTTCAAAGGTTCCTCTTTTTTATTTATTTATTTTTTATTTTTCCCTAAAATCTGGGTTTATTTCAATTATCTCTCATAGCAAAAAGAAAGCATTTCTAATTTTACATAACAATCAATCTATATATGTTAATTGTCCAGACTTTTGAATTTCTTGTATTAGTCAGTCATAATTCTTTAGAAAGATAACTCAGGATTGTTTAAATATTGCTTTCCATGTGCCTGTGCTAACAAGTGAGAGAAAATAATTCTATATATGATACAGGGCTTCGTATAGCACAATGATACACACAACAATTCAATGATACAGCTTCATGCAGAGAAAAAAATAAAATACAAACTATAACATACCAATATGGAACTGATTATGCATCAGGACTAATATTCCAAATATCTCACCCGCACAGCAGAGCCTGGCAAGATCCCCATGATGTATTCGATGTGCCAAACACAGTAACAACAAAATCTCCAATGGAGACGTTACTGGGCCCGCTCGAGCAAATCGATGAACAACAGGAGGGCCTTTAATTAACTTAATTTAATTTAAGTGTGTGACAGCTATACATAAATATATAAAAACTCAAATGAGTAGCACATTTATTATCTATATGCTTGTATTAATAAAATATGAAAATGTTCTGTGGTTCACAAAAGCAAGGTATGGCATTACTGTGATAGATCTAGTCCTGACACAGGTAACATATAACCAAAAATAAAACATCTATTTTTTTGTTATTAGCATTCCTGGCAACCTAAGGTTCCTCTTGAGAAGGGAGATAGCTCAAAGGGCTGGAACACAGGCACCAGCCTGGAGTTCCATCCCTAACACTTCATGACCTTTTGAGCATCACAGGGTGTAGCCCTGATCATCCCCAGAACTGCGGGGAGAACCTCCCCATCCCACCTCCTCTACCTCCCCTCCATGAAAGGCTCTGGGTTACTTTCACTTTGCAAACATCTCTATTTCTTCCCTGTCCTGTTGCATTCTCAGGTAGAATTATTTGTATCCTCCCTATTTTCCAATAACACTCTATTTTCAACTGTGTTGTAACATTTAAAATATTTTACTGTATTGAGTAGTTTGTGTCTCCTGCATTAAACGCTGTTAATTAGGGAAAGGAGTTATTCATGTTTACACACCCGGTTAAGCGTCTCATACCAAGTACCTCACTTAATGAGGTACAAATGGAATAGTATTACTGAACTATAACTTTATCAGCTCAAATGGATTTAGTGGTGTCTTGAGAGCGTTTTACGTTTCTTGGTTTGGTTTGGTTTTTAAAGTGGAGACTTGATTGAGACTATGCCATCAAAAATAAACGCCACTTTAAATATCTAACATCATTAAAGTTTTATGATAAGGACAGATACTGGACACAGCAATTTTAGTTTTTTATATTGTACAGTAAATGGCAAATAAACATGCTAAACTAGAAGTTTCTTTCAGATTGAAAGATAGCCAAATATATTTTAAATAAAATAAGAATAGGTAACAGAAATATTTAAACCAAATAGAGTAGTTAGAGAGAATGACATCACCATCAAGTAAAATTATTTAAAATAAATATGGCTATAAATAACACAAATAGCACTTTTTAATCAAGTCTATGAGAAGCAGTAGGTGGCAAAATATTTTAGGAATCCATGATGCTATGTACATCTACATTTGCATTTAACCTTCTAGGAGAGCAATGTGGCACTTCATAATAAAATCTTAAATGAGATATGAATGTACAAATACTTTAGTGAACACTCTCTTCTCAATTTTTATCAATTTTTATCATCTACCCAGAATTCTAACTTTGAAACTACTATTTTTCTTCCGTCCCCCTTTTGATTCTGTTACTGCCTCCATCACCCAACAGCTAATCCCTTCGTAGACATACATTAAATCTTATTGATTTTACATCCAATA